ATTATTCCTACTTTGCAGTTTTTCAATTATTGCGGGTCTTCAGGGAACAGACCACCCTTGAAAAACAAGGGACTACTGTATACATACAGCACGGTGGCACAACTGGTAGCGCTGTTGCCTCTCAGCGAGAAGGTAGCTGGTTCAGGGCCTTTCTGGGTGGAGTTTGCATGTTCTCTCCGTGCATGTGTGGGTTTTCTCCGGGTACTCCGGTTTCCTCCCACAGACCAAAAACATGCATGTTGACCAATTGGTAACTCTAAATTGTCCCTAGATGTGAGTGAGAGAGTGAATGGTTGTTTGTCTCGTTTGTCTCTATGTGTCCCTGTGATGGACTGGAGACCTGTCCAGGGTGTACCCCACCCCTCGCACAGTGATTGCTGGACATGGGCACCTGCGACCCCCATGACCCAAAATGGAAGAAGCGTGTAAAAGATAATGGATGGATGGATGGATGGATGGATACTGTATACATACTGTATTTTGACCTTCAATCTCATTGAGTTAAAACGGTTGGGAAACTTTTTATGGCCATGCCACTGTTTTTTAAATTGATGTTTAAAGTTTAGCTTCTGGTTTGATGGTAGTGAAGAAAGAGTTCATGCCAAAGACAAAGCTCTTGATTTTCTAGTCCATCTATAGTCCAGCTCTCAGCAATGGTCATTATTTATGGATCATGACTAAAAGAGTGAGACCTTGACACAAGTGACTAAAATGAGCCTGTTTCATAGGGTGGCTGGGTTCAACATTACAGCAAGGGTGAGAAGCTCCATCATTCTGGGGGTAGCTCACTGTAGCGCTGTATCAAAAAGTGTCAGTTGAGGTGGTTCAGGCATCTGATTAGGATGTCTTCTGGACTCCTCACTTTGAAGGTTTTCTAGGCATATTCCACTTGGGAGAAAACTCAGAGCTGACCCATAATTCACTGGAAAGAATACATATACACTCAGGCCTGGGAATGCTTCAGGATCCCTAAGAGGAGCTGGAGAGTGTATCTGGAGAGAAGGATGTCTGGGGTTTTTCCTGGACCTGTTGTCTCTGCGACCACTGAAAAGCATCAGAAGATAGAAATGGAAATGTTTACCCATAAACACCATTTTCAGTATCTTATTCTTATGAACATTTATTTAACTAGGCAAATCTCATTGAGATTACAGATCTCTTTTGCAAGGGACACCTGGGCCCAAACGTAGCCTTGGCATGCATGCTTTGGACTGTGGGAGAAAGAACGTAGCAAAAACTCACACAAAAAGAAGAAGAACATGTAAACTCTACAGAAAAAGTTTTGGAGCTATAGTGAACTACAAACTAGAAAATTAGAAAAAAAAAAATTAAAAATTAAAACTAACTAACCCACACTCTACAACAATCGGAGAGGAAATGGCAGTTCATATGCAGTTTGCCGTTTTTTTCTAGCATACATGTAAACCCATTCAGTTGTGTACCTGTACTGATCTTCAGAAATCCGTAAAATTCACAAAAAAATTGTAGTACTTTCACACAATACAACGGGGGTAGAGGTGGGGGTACTGTGACTGTTGCAGCGAAGGCAAGGTAAAGCAGGGAGGACGAGGAGGGGGCAACCTTAGCATTTCCTTATGGGCTAGCTACGACGTAAGATAAATTTGAAGCTGTTTTTGAAAAATCTGTAAGATTTACTCTGTATGTCCGTAGTCATGAAAAATGGAGAAAAAAACAGTAT